CCCGTTTTCTCCCCGGCCGCCCGGGCGGCCGCGCCCCGCCCCCCCGGGGCCCCCGCCGCCGCCTCCCGCGCCCAGCGCGGTGCCGGGGGCCGAGGGGAGCGGGGCCCTGCCCGGGGGGGGCCCAACGGTTCCACTGCGACTTGCACAGCGGCAGGCGGGGGGTGCAGGGGCGGGCAGGGAGCGGGAGGGGGCCAGACCGGCAAGCGGGGCCGGAGCATCCCGGGGCCGTGCCCAGGAGACGAACACCAGCCCTGGTGCTCCCAGCCCTGCAGCGTGGGCCGCTGGCCCCCTCCCCGCACCTTAACCCGGAGCAGCAGGGATGAGCCGCCCGCACTTTCCAGGATTCCCCCTCCCCGAGCCTTAAAACTCCAGGCTGGGTGGGAGAAGGGGCTGCTCCAGCCCCAGGCAGAGGCACAGAGGAGCTGGCGGAGGAGCCCGGACAAGGCAGGGCAGCGGGCGTCCCCTCACCCCAGAGCGGCTCAGAGCTTGAACAGGCTCCTCCGCAGCTGGAGAGCAGAGTACGGCGACGCAGCCCCAGCCCACGGGGACCCCGGGGCCTGCAGGGACAGCAGCTCCCACAAGGGGAAGGGAGGGGACACCAAGCACAGCACCAGCCCTGGGAGACAAACAGGACCCACATCCCCTCCGCTCCCCTCCACAGCAGAGGCCACCAGTGGCTCCCAGGACAGCGCTCCCCTGCCAGTCCTTGTCCCAAGACTGCTCCGTTTGCTGGCTGGGGGACGCAGATCTCCACCTGGGAGGAAAGGAGCGGCGTTAGCACCCTGCCAGGCAGCCGCCCCCCTCCCTGCCCCTGCAGCTCACCCACCTCAGAGCCGACGGCTCAGGCTGCCCACCTTGGCGGGATGCGTCACGGAGCAGAAGTTGCGCTTTGTCTGCAGCTGCTGCAAGGGATTGAACTGTCCCCTCTGCTCCCGCTTTAGTTTTTTCATCTTCTTTACCTGTGCAGAGGCAGGAAAGCTCTTAGGGTCAGAGTGCGGAGGCCCCTGCCTCCCCCAACTTGCCCCAGCCCAGGACGGGGCCAGCACCCACCTTCCCTCTGTCAAACTCCTCGTCCCACTCATCGATGACAGTCGCGCTCCGGGCCCACGCTGCGTCCCGAGTGGCATCCTGGCGGACAGCTGAGATCTCGCCCTCCCAGGTCAAGACTGCGGAGCAGCACGGTCAGCAGGGAGCACCGCGCTGTGCTCCGCTGCACCCGCCTGCACAGGGCCCCCACCTCAGGCCAGCGGCTGGGGGCCCCCCCTCCCCCCCCCCCCCCCTTGG